TAACATCTGTGCCATCTTCCTCTACTTTACATGGGACGCCGCCACAGCATGGCTTGACAAGCAGTGCGTCAGTGCGCACTTGGGATCCAAACCTTCGAACCCCAGGCTGCCACAGTGGAGCACGCCCACTTAGCCGCTGTGCCACCGGGCTGGCCCCTGCCTTGATTCTTTAAAAATCAATAGTAGGGCCGGCCCCGTGGCTTGGTGGTTGGGTGCGCGCGCTCCGCTGCTGGCTGCCTGGGTTCGGATCCCGGGCGCGCACCGACGCGCTGCTTCTCCGGCCATGCTGAGGCCGCGTCCCACATACAGCAACTAGAATGAAGTGCAGCCATGACATACAACTATCTACTGGGGATTTGGGGGAAAATAAATAAATAAAATTATTAAAAAAAAATCAATAATAAAATTTAATGGTTAGCCAGACGGTCAATTAACCACAACCCCTCTTTCTTGTATTTTATCTACATGGTAAAGTACTAACCTTTAGACTCACTTATTTGTATCTTATAATTTGAAATGTCTTAGTTTTCATACTTATTAAACTTAATTATGTTGTTCAGGTACAAGTTCCCACAGTTTCTATTTTCTGAAGCTTACCTTGTTTTCCAGAAATTGGTGACCATCTCTGTTGTTTTCTATAAAACTAGTTTTGCCAAACAGCAGAGATCTTTAGGCAAACTCCTAATAGATGCCAAGTACTTTATCTAAAGACGCATAATTCCTGTTATGATAATTTAGTAGGTTTCCATGTAAGGTCTTAACTTGAATCTTTAACACCTTTAAGAATGCCTCTTGAGCTGATGCTTGAGCCCTCACTGAGAAAGAAGCTATGCTAATCTGTCCTTGATGAGGCTGCATTGATTATCTGAAATGAGGAACATTCATAATGACCACTTCTCTTAGGGCTTATAGGAAGCTTTATTATTACTAATATTCCTTAACTTACTAATTTCTAAAAGATATAGCTTCTCACTGCTTATAACCTGTGCTCCCAATTCCTGCAAAAGGATAAAAGAGGAATTTTACTGGAGTTCCTTTGTTTTAAGTCAGAAAGTCAGGGCTCTTTAATAATGAAGACGTTTTTAACCCCATTATATAAATGATCTCCTTTGTGCTTTATAATACCACTGTCTCATGATCGTTGGAACAATTTTTGATGGTACTGCACTGGTGTAGGACTTAACAAGATGACCAGTCTGTATTAGCATTTAGTTTAATTTTCAAATAATTCAAAGTGAAAAGGAATGGCTTTCAGTAAAATAGAAGAGATTAATTTCTTTTTGCTGTTCAGAGAAGCTTCATTTATGTTACTTTTTTCTTGTATTTGTTTTTATTTATTTTTCATAATTATTCTATAAATTACTTTTTATAAAGAAATTATTTCAATTACATACTTTGTATAGAAGAAATTGCCATTACTCTCTTGTATTCCTGTGCTTTATACTGCTTTTGTAAGCGATGCAGAGACACACACACCCTTTTATCCCTATATTGTGTATGTCAGTTGCCGTGACATGGCTCATTATAACACAGATGTACTATTGCTGTGGATGAAATTGTATTCCCTCTATCCCTGCAAAATGTTAACTACAAAAACTGAAAACCTGTTCAATCTTATTAGCCCAGTATGCTAATATTCTGCATATTTGTAGTTGTGTTTGTTTTTATTTATAATATACTCTGCCTCACTCGTGAAAGGATTCAAGACTACTTTGTGATTATATTAAACCAAGATTAAGAGGGGCTTATGTTATATTTTTTTAAAAAAAGAATTTAGTGTGAATTTTTTGAAAGCTGACTGATCGAGTAACATTTTTAAATAATAAAGAAAAAATGGAGGGCCGGCCCCGTGGCTTAGCGGTTGAGTGCACGCGCTCCGCTGCTGGCGGCCCGGGTTCGGATCCCGGGCACGCACTGACGCAGCGCTTCTCTGGCCATGCTGAGGCCGCGTCCCACATACAGCAACTAGAAGGATGTGCAGCTATGACATACAACTATCTACTGGGGCTTTGGGGGAAAAATAAATAAATAAATAAAATTAAAAAAAAAAAAGAAAAAATGGTATATTAAGAGAATACTTAATTGAGAGTCTGGAAAGTATATTTTGTATTTTAATGCCTTACTAACTTGATGTATGATCCTCAGTATATCACTTTATTTCTCTGGCTGCTTCCTACTGTGTGAAGTGATCCCTCAGATTTTTAAATGATAAGGTGAACAGTCAGAATGGGAGTTGAATTCTTGAGACGATAAAGCTTCAGAGAATGTAGAGTACGTAAGTTCAGAGAGGGAAAGACTCTAGGAATAGGTTCATCAGCAGGGCCCCGTGTGTACCAGGTGCAGCCCAAGCCCTGAACCAGGGGCCTGTGTGAGGGGGGATGGGGCTGAGTTTCCAGCTCAGCTTCTGGATGCAGAAAGGAGTTGTTGTTTTTTTCTTTTTTGCTGAGGAAGATTCCCCCTGACCTAACATCCGTTGCCAGTCTTCCTCTTTTTCTATGTGAGTTGCTGCCACAGCATGGCCACTGACAGATGGGTGGTATAGGTCTGCTCCTGGGAACCGAACCCGGGCCGCTGAAGCGGAGCGCATCAAACTTAACCACTAGGCCACCGGGGCTGGCCCAGAAAGGAGTCTTAATGTGCTAGTTGCCACCCTGTTCACCAGGTTAAGTTTCATCTCAGTTGCCAACACTGGTCAGTTGGTAGTGACCACCACATCCCTGTGTGGTGTAAGACATCCAGGGTACTGGAGGGAAGAGCGGTGGCAGATACTTGTTGACTCCGAGTATTGAACTTTAATGGTTTAGAATGTGGATGTGAATATTTTATTTATTTTGCCATGTTTGAAAGTGTAGGCTCAGAAATCAGACTGAGTAAAAATTCTAGGTTTTCCTTTCACTTTCCAGTTTTGTGATCTTGGGCAACTTCCTTAATTCCTCTAAGCCTCTGCCTTATTTAGAAAGTGGAAATAATGATAGTTCTTGCCTCATAGGATTGTTCTAAGAATTAAATCAGTAAATGTGTTTAAAGTACAAGCACAGCACTTGGAACACAGCAAGTACTCAGGTAGCGTTAGCTTTCATTGTCGTGATTGTCATTTGTCATAGAAGATGCACATCTCACAGTGCGTTGTATCCTAGTGTCTACTGTAGGGGAGGAAAAAAATATTTTTCCTCTACCCATTTTAGGTTCTCTGACTGAGACTCTGTAAATTATGTGCAAAGACAGATTAACAAGAGAAAAACAAACCAAAGTTTATTAATGTGTGCTTTGTGCATGTACACACGGGAGCACCCAATGATGAGTAACCCAAAGGGATGGTTAGAACCTGGGCTTATATACCATCTTAGGCTAACCAAAGGAAAAGGGATTTGGGGCTTCTGCATGGAGGAGGCAAGTTACCGGAAGGTGGTCTGGAAAAGTATGGTAAACGAGAGGGTTGTTTAATAAGCACATTTAATATGCACATTTAAATTAGAGCCTTCTCCATTGGTAAGAGTTGTTTAGAGTCCTCCTCTACCTTTTACACGAGAGGGATATCCTTACAAATGGAAATTTCCTGTATAAATGTAAATTTTATTTACAAAATGAAAACTTGTGCCCCGTTTTTACAGCCCCCCACCCTGCATCTATCTGCTATTTCTCAATGGCCTTTAGCTCAAAATAATCTGTATGCCAAAGAGGCATGTTTTGAGGTGGCGTATTCTGGTACTCTTCACTACCTGTTCAGTCTGTCTCTTATCCATTGACTCTTTCTATTTGTGTTGCCACCTTTCTCCTGGATAATTGCAATATCCTCCTATCCTCCTCTCCCAGTTGAGAGAGATCATATTAGATGGCACTGAGTGGGTATGATATACAGCTATCGGTTGAAATTAAGGGGTCAAGAATAGGGTTGAGTACTAGAGAATAGAAAATATTTGGAACATCCCTTGGTAGGGCATCTACAAGGATTGTTTTGTGGCCCTGAGATTAGAATTTGAATTGAATCCCTTCATTATAACTTTAGAATTTTCTATAATAGTGTTCTACAACCAGAACTGGAAGTAGAGAAAGCAAAAGGAGGCTGTCCAGGGTGGGAATGTTTGTGAGTATGTGGAATATAAAGAGAGCAAGGATTCTAGGAGAGTGAGATTGAAGTGGCTGACCACGAGTTCCAGGATGTGAAGCCAGGCACTTGAACCTAGATCTGAGAAAGTAAGCTGAGAACCCAGGGAGAGGTCAAAGTGAAGTGAGGATAAAGAATAGGTTCATCGAAGAAGGAAGAATAGGTAAATAAATTGTGCTATATTGATATGTAGGAAACAATGAAAAGGGATGAACTTGAGCTAATGCTGAGCAAGAGCAGCAAGTTGCAGAGGAATATCATGTATGTAAAAAACACGTGAAACAATTCTGTTTATTTCCAGACTTTACTTTAAGCCTCTTTATCAATATTTTAGGCAAAATTCTCACCAGCTTGTTTCTCTGGTCTCCCAACTGAGATGGATTAGAAATAGCAAATTAAAAAAGGTTACCCTGTTAGATGCAGTAAATGACCCACTAATGAAGATGGAAGAGACACAGAACTACTAAATTTGACACAGAAAAGGATCAACAGCATATGAATTTAGGTAAAATTAATGCAGGATAAACAGTCTTATGCCTAAACAGTGCTGAGTACCCTAGTTAAGGTAGCTTTTGATAACTGATATTCATGATTAAGACTTTGTGCCATCAAAAATCCATTTAAATTTTATTTGGTATATTATTTATATGAAGAGAGGAGACTATGTGATTATTTTAAGATTTTCATGGAAATGGTTATGATTTAAAAAATTGTTTTGGAAACTAAAAGGGGTAAGCTTCATGTATTTGAAAAATTCTCTTATGTGGAACACTTGATGGTTGTTTGAATGAAGAATTACTATACTGCAAAACAGAATATGATAGTTTGAGAGATACATGACAATATATAATTGTTGCTTGAGATATATTAATATTCTTTTTTGGTTTCTTGACAGATTGTTTAACGAACAAAAGTGAAGAATTATCAAATAGCACGGTATACTTCCTCAGTCTGTTTAACCTCACCTTGACCTGCTTTGAGCATAACCTTCAGGTATTTTATATGATACTTGAAATTAAAATGCTGCCGTGTACAAATGAATAATATGATTCCAATTGTTATAGCGTTAATTGTTGATATTTATCCATACACACAATGTAGAGGAGTTAGTGGACCTGGATTTCTGCTAAGTTCTTCCATTACCAGCCCTTAGGCAAATCATCAAAACTTTAGTTTTCTTATTTGTAAGGTGGAGATAGTAAGATCTACCCTGCCTACCTTCAAGTCTTTTGTAGTGAGGATCCAAGAAGATAATGAGTATGAACACATTAACTGAGGCATGTGGTTGTTTAATTAAAACAGTGTTGTTCTGACGGTAATTTACCCTGACTTTGTTTATGCAGTAAGGTGTTTTGCAATGCAGTGTGATTTTGTATACAGGAAACTTATTCTTTGCCTCAATATTTGCTTAAATATGTTTTACCTACTTTAAAAGTAAGGTAACTTTGAGTATTGAATTATAATACAAAAGGTAGCCTTTAAGAAACCTACCTTATTGGTTTTTGTTTTTTCCACCTCTGACCCTTGAATGTTGGTATTGGAACTTCCCAGGTGGTGGTGAGGGGCGAGATTGGAACTCTGGTAAACTCTAGTTTTGAAACTTGCTTAACAAGTAAGGAATTCCCACAAATAGATGTAAACATGTTTAGGATATAGGTATGTATGATTTCCTCTTTAATAAGTGTGACAACACAGAATTATGAATTTCCCTGAGGATAATAAAAACTATTAGATGAGCATTTCCCCAAATATGTTCTGCAAAATGTTAATAGATGGCCCATAAAAAACAGTGTTCTAATAAAGTTGGGAAATGCCTTACTACAGGACTTCAGAACTTTAGTGGACTAATGTACCTTGTAAAACTCCAAATGGTAGTTTTTGTATACAGCATTTACCAAACCTGTTTGACGAGGAACTCTTTGGTTTAGGAGAAAGTGTTCTGATGAATGAATTTTAGGGAAATTAGCATTTTTCCTGGGATGTTAGTCACAAATATTTTTTCCTAATTTGTTGTTTGCCTTTTTATTGAGCTTTTCTTTTTGTTATGAAGAAAATTTTAATTTTTATGTTGTTAGATTTATCAAAATTTTTTTAATGGCTTGCGGATTTTGTGTCAAACTAGATGTTCTTTTCCCTATTTGAGATTATTTTTAAAATTTCTCCTGTGATTTCTTTTAGTACTTTTATGGTTTCATTTTCTATATTTAAACATCTTTTATCTATCTGAAATTTATTTTGGTGTAAGTTGTGAGGCATAACTCCAACCATTTTTTCCTGATGGCTTCTTGACTGTCCGAACATGATTTACTAAATAAATCCATGGAATGAATTTTAGAACCAAGTGCAAAAAAATCAGTCATTTTTAGATTTTATTGAATTGCATTGCATTTTAGAATTATCATCTGGAAAGAACTGACATGTTTAGATACTGAGCTTTCCTATCTAGGAGTATAATATGTTGTCTATTTTTTTAATTGTAAAATAGACAGAATATAAAATTTACCACATTATCATTTTTAAGTGTACAGTTCAGTGGAATTAAGTAATCTCACATTGTTGTGCAACTGTCACCACCATCCATCTCCAGAACTTCTTCATCTTCTCAAACTGAACCTCAGTACCCAGTAAGCGGTGACTCTCCATTTCCTCCTCTTCTAGCCCCTGGAAACCACCGTTATTCTCTATTTTTTAATGTCCTTTAGCACAGTTTTACTTATTTATTTCAATTTCATATAGTTCTTAAACATTTGTTAAGTTTATTCCAAGGTCTTATATAGTTTTTGGTGCCATTTTGAATGATATCTTTTCTTCCCCTGCTACAGATTTTAACTGGTTACTTTCTTTTAAAATGTTTTGTTTTGGAATAATTTTAGATTTACAGAAAAGTTGCAAAGGTAGTACAGAGAATTCCCGTGCATCCCTGACCCAGGTTCCCCTAATGTTAACCTTACATTATCATGGTACATTTGTCAAAACTAAGAAATCAACGTTGGTGCATGACTGTTAACTAAATGCCAGACTTTATTCTGATTTCACCAGTTTTTCCACTAATGTCTTTTTTTTGTTTCAGGATCCATTCCAGGCTAGTACATTGCATTTAGTAACTGGTTACTCCTTAAAATTTCTATCTCATATATAGCTACATTTCCTTTCATATTCCAAATGCTGTTTTTGTGACTCCTTTTTTCCCTCAAGTTTTCTTTAGGCTTGTTAAAGGTACATTTGTTTTTATTGATCTTTTCAAAAACCTGCGTTTGGCTTTATTAGTTTCTGTTTTATTTTTCTTAATGTGTGTATTTATGCTTTTGCATTTATTAATTCCTCATATTCTTTTGGTTAATTTTGTCATTTTTCTAGTCCTTTAAATTGAATGGTTAATTTATTTTCAACTTTTCATGCTCAACAATAAAATAATTTTCAGACTGTAAGTTTATAACTTTGGGCTTTCCAATAATAGATTCTGATATGAAGGGGTTGTATTTTCATTTGTTTCTAAATTTTAATTTTGATTTGTTTTTTGACTTAAGAGTTCTTTGGAAGGTTATTTTTTAATATGAGTGGCGTGATTTCTTTTGTTCATTTGCATTTGTACATCTCAAATTTTAATGGAGTTGTGACTAGTAAATGTAGCCTATCTACATTTTGGAATTTATTGAGATATCTTTGTGATGTAATAATCAATTATTAAAAATGTTTTGTGGGCATTTGAAAAGAACTTGTTTATAGGATACGAAGTGATATATATATCTCTCTCCAGTTTTAAGCAATTATTTTTGATATAGTCAGTTTTACCTTTTGGGATTTTTTTTTTTTTTTTTTTGCTGAGAAAGATTTGCCCTGAGCTAACATCTGTTGCCAATCTTCCTCCTTTTTGCTTGAGGAAGATTCACCCTTAGCTAGATCTGTGCCAGTCTTCCTCTATTTTGTATGTGGGTTGCTGCCACAGTATGACAGCCGATGAGTGGTGTAGGTCCGCGCTCGGGAACCGAACCTGGGCCGCAGAAGTGGAGCGCACCAAACTTAACCACTAGGCCTTGGGGCCAGCCCCAGGACTTCTTTTTTTTTAAGAGGCAGTCTGATCTTCTTTTATCCCAGATCTTTGCAAATAAATGTGACAAGCGATGTGCATTATTTTTTCAATCTTTTTATTGTAAAAAGATTTCAAACTTGCAGAGATATCAGAAGAGTATATAATGAAGACTCATATTACCTAGATTCAACAATGATCAACATTTTGTCATATTTCCTTTATTTATATATGTGTGAATATGTGCATTTTATATTTTTTTGCTGTAGCATTTGCAAGTTGTAGATATTATGACATATTACTCATTTAATTTTTAAAAATTTTAATTTTAGAATAGTGTTGGGCCGGCCCTGTGGCTTAGCGGTTAAGTGCGTGAGCTCCGCTGCTGGCGGCCTGGGTTCGGATCCCCGGCGCGCACCGACGCACCGCTTCTCCGGCCATGCTGAGGCCGTGTCCCACATACAGCAACTAGAGGGATGTGCAGCTATGACATACAACTATCTACTGGGGCTTTGGGGGGAAAATAAATAAATAAATAAAATTATTAATTTTAGAATAGTGTTAGATTTATAGCAAAGATGGTACAAAAAGTTCCCATATACCCCTCATCCAGTTTCCCCTATGTTAACATCTTTTATTGCTGTGGTACATTTGTTACAACTGAAAAACCGACATAGGTGCATTACTATTAACTAGACTCCAGAGTTTATTTGAATTCACTAGTTTTTCCAGTAAAGTCCTTTTTTCTCAGTCCAGGTCACTACATTTCATTTAGTTGTCATGTTTCCTTAGTAAATTGGTTTTACTCATGGCACTTCTGACACCAAATGTGTGGGGGTTTTCCCACACCAACAACCAATTCTCTGATCCTCTGACACCAACTAGTTGTCCTATAATTCAGTATATTCTGACACTAACTACCATGAATTAGCGTCTGACTCCACAGATTTAAGTGCTCAGCCTCCCAAGACAGCCCCATTGCAGATGCCAGTCACAAACAGGGTGCCCAGGTTACCCACACTTCTGTCCGACTTGGCTACAAAGTTGAGGGGTTTTCACAACTTGCCCCCTTTAGGTTCAGTAATTTGCTAGAATGGCTCACAGAACTCAGGAACACTCTTTACTTATGTTTACTGGTTTATTGTAAAGGATCCACCTCAGGAACAGCCAAATGGAAGAGATGCACAGGAGAAGGTATAGGGGAGGGGTGTGTATGCAGAGCTTCCATGCCCTCTCTGGGTGCACCACCCTCCCAGCGCATTGATGTCTTCACCAACCTGGAAGCAAACTCTCCAAACATTTAGAGCTTTTTGTGAAGGTTTCACTCTGTAGGCATAATTGATTAAATCATTGGCCGTTGGTGATTAGCTCAGTCTTCAGCCCTTCTTCCCTCCTCAGAGGTCAGGAGTGGGACTAAAGTTCTACTCTGTGATCATGCCTTGGTCCTTCTGGTGACCAGCCTCCATCCTGAAGCTATCCAGAGGCCCCCAGCCACCAGTCATCTCATTAGCATGCAAAGGACAGTCTTGTTGGTCATATATTCCAAAGGTTTTAGGAGCTGTGTGCCAGAAACCAGGGACAAAGACCAAATACCTATTTCCCGTTGTACCACACTTAGTCTCCTCTGGTCTGTGACACTTTCTCAATCTTTCCCTGTTTTTCTTGACTGACAATTTTGAGGAGTACTGGTCAAGTATTTTGTAGAATGCCCCTCAATTTGGGTTTGTCAATATTTTTCTCATGGTTACACTGAGACTGTGGGTTTGGGGGAAGAACACCACAGAAGTGAAGTACCTTTCTCATCACATCCTGTCAGAGGTACATGCTGTCAACATGATTTATCCCTGATGATGTTAATCTTGATCACCTGGACAGGGTAGTGTTTGCCAGGTCTCTTTAATGTAAAGTTGCCTTTTTCTTAGGGTTTTGGCCCTGAGTAGCTGAGAGGATGCTGGGGCCCTGGGGAAGACTGGTTGTAGGGGAGTGGGGACTAAAAATTCTGTTTTGAACATGTTAAGTATGAAATACCTATTAAACATCCAGGCTGAGGTGTCAAATAGTGTTATAAATGAGATTGGAGCTCAGGGGAGAACTGTTAGCTGGAGATAGAGAGTTGAGAGTCATCGGATACAGATGGTATTTAAAGTCGCAAGACTGGACATGCGTGAGTGTAGATAGAGGTGATAAAGAGGCCCCAAGGACTGAGTCCTGGGGAACTCCAGTGTTTTATAGGGGTGTGTGTGTGTGTGTTTGAGAGGGGAGGGGAGCTAGCTGAAGAGATAGGTGATAGCAGTGAGATTGGTGATACTGGCTGTGGCAGTGGCTTTTAGCTCAGTGATTGGGCAGGGATGTGGGTTTAAGGTCCAGACCAGATCCATCTTGGGGAGTAAGTGTTTGCAGGTGGCTTCTGTGGGAACCTGGACTGTCTTGGTGGCTTTGGAAAGACTGCTTTTTTGTGGGTGTCCCCACAGGCAGGGTGGGGCTTTTATTCCAGCGTCCTGCATCTCAAGAGGACGGTGTGGGTGGTTGCAGAGGATAGAGGTTCACAGGAGACTGTGGTCCTGGCTAGTTTCTCTGGGAGTGGTGTGGGAGCAATAACACAACCTTCGTGTGGTCAGATGTGCGTGTCACACCTTTATGTTTTATGGTGCTATTCAAGTGCCTGGATTTACCCTTTTCTTGAATCTCTTCAGTAAAGAAATCAGGAGACAAGGCATATGCTGATGTCATCATCTTCCCAGTATCCCATTTCCTCATTTCGTTTTAAATGCTGCAGAGCTTTCTATTGCTTGGCTCTGCTACCATTTCTTTAGTCAGTCCCCATGCTGATGGAGATTTTTGTTTGGTTCAGTGTTTTACTATTACAAACACGGACAGTCTTTTTTGATATAACTTGGAGTATTTGTATGGGTTTATCTGTCTGGTAGATTCTTAGAAGTAAAATTTCTGTGTCAAAAGATACATGCATTTTAAGTTTTACTATATACTGGCTAAATTACATTCCCCCATCAAGGTTCTAGGCTCAATTTTTGATTGGACATGTTTAGTTAAATGCACAATTGTTTGGTGAAAAACAGGCAATGGGCTATTTCCTATGGTAGTGCTAAAGGGAGACTTGGTTTCTCTGTCAAATAGATGGTGAAGATACCCTTGGGGGGGCTACATCAGTTTAATTCCTTTAATTTTCCCTTTTCTCTTTCATTCCAATATTCAGTTAATATCATTTTTCCAGGCTACAGGTAAAGAATAAAGGGAATAGAAAGCAAAGGTGTGAACTGACTGTTCAGCATACTTGTTCTTGAAACGACAGTGTCCATCCTGGAAGTGGAAAAGATTGAGATTCACTAACATAATATCTTGTATGTCATATCCACTACCTTGATTTTAGTTTATACAGTTCTTTGGTATTAGTCCGTTTTTGTTGCCTAGAAGGGCCTGGATTACAAGTCTTGGGGTGAGAGGGTTGAGTGGGGATGTAGTTTTGGTGCGTTTTCCTTTCCCATTAATAAAGTCATCTTGATCTCAATAAGGCAGACTTCAGTGTTGAAGTTGGCACAGGCAAGGGCATATTTTATTTATTCAGTGAGAGTAGAATAGATAAGAGCAGACATATAAATGACAAGATAATTTAGGAAATTTATGGTATTTAGGTATCAGTAATTTGGCACATGAGCTAAAGTTGTCCTCAGTTAACAGAGGCTAATGCAGTGGTTTTCAAAATTTAGGGGCAACTAGAACGTGCCAAATATTTTTCTATGTGCTTTACATACCAGGTCTGTAATCCTTGGGACCTATAATACAGGTAGTGGCAGCCCTATTTTGTAGATGATAAAACTGAGGCTCGGATTGAGTTAGCAATCTGCCCAACATCACAGCTCAGCACTTGAACATGCTATATTGTTTCTGTCCTCTAGCAGAGCAAATTGCTTACATTAAAGAGATGTAATGTTTATTTTGTGTGTTACATGTGCCTTTGACATTTTAGGAGAGCGCATACAGTCTTCTACAGTTAAGAAATTATTCAGAAGTTTGCAAAAACTGTCACGAAGCATACAAAACTTTGAGTAATCTGTACAGTGAAATGCAAAAAATGAATGAACTTGCGAACAAGGCTGAACATGGGAGACATTTATGCATTGACGTGGAGGATGCAGTAAGTACTTTGCTTCTGATATGATACATATTTTGCAGTGTTGTTGAATGTGCCTTCAGTATTATCATCGCTTTTAGGGGTATATTGGAATCTGCATGTGTTGTCTTCAACCAGAAATAACCAGTTATAAAATAGTGAAGTTTTAGAATATCCTGATCTGTCAAATTAAAATGGAAATTAATCAGGTACTTCATAAGTGAGTTGATAATTTGGTACATTTTGTGTTTTAAGTTTGATAATGTGTGTCATTTTCAGAGGTGTGGGCATTGTTATATGTTTACATTTCAGTTTCTTGTGCAGTTGTTGCTAATTCAAGAAGCCTCTAGGTTTTGCTACTAGGTGTTTCTGAAGCCATTCCTCAATTACTTTCTATCTCATTGCTTTGTTCATTTCTTTATATCCATTACCATCTGAAAATTTTTGTTTGTTTACTTATTTGTAGTCTGTCTCCCCTCACTAAAGTATAAGCCACGTGAGGACAAGGACTTCATGTCCTTTCTTGTTCCCTGTTCAATGTTTAGAACCGTGCCTGGCATATAGCAGGCCCTTAGAAATATGTATTGATTGAATGAATGGTCAACAAAAAAGCTTTTTTCTCCGTTGTATAGCCTGCCTTTACATGGGGCACCACTAGATGGCGATCATGTCTTTCTATGGGAATATGATGCCTGTGTATCGAGGCATTAGAGAAAACTGAGAAATTATTGGCTAAAAGTAGAGAATGCGAACTGAAAATTGATTAACTTAATGGCTGAGAATGATGAGCCTGATTTATCATAGCAGCTCAGAGGGAACTATAGTGGATCAATAATATTCAGGATGGTAAAAAGGGCTTAAAATGGACCACTATGGGGATTTTTATTTATTTTTTACTGCTCTGTTCCTAATGTCTAGAATAGTACCTTGCTTCTAGTAGGCTCTCAATAAATAATAAATATATATTTTAAAAATAATAGTCTATTTAATTGTTTTTAAAATAAAGAAGAAAAATGAATATTGGTTCTATGACATAAGTTGGATTACACAGGAAACAACATGACCCCCTATTTTAGAGCATCCTTCTTGCAATAAGCAAAACTTATAGTAAGTATACAGTACACCATTTGCAAACCATATCTCAATTAAACAAAAGCCAGACAAGAACAGTTTTCTACATTAAATTTGATACTTTCCTTATATCATTTAGCCTGTTTGGCAGAAACCATGAGCTCAATGAAAGTGGGGTACTGCTGCCCCTAAATGTATTATTTCTAACGTATGCTGCTAAGTAAGATATTAACATTGTCTAATAAAGTTTCCGTGACTCATTAGATATTATGTACTTAAAAATTATTTGCCACGAGTATGAATCTCTTATAATATCTTAGATAAGATAGATAAGATATTAAGAATGTCATAGATATCGTCTCTTCAAGAGAAGCCCTTTGAAGTTGATATTTTTATTTCCATTCTAAAAATATTGCAGTAAGCTCAGTGAGATTACATATGTAACTTGAAAAAAAACTTTTTGTTTTTGTGAGCCTGTTTCCCCCAGTATTATTGAGGTATAATTGACAAATAAAATTGTAGTATATTTAAAGTATATGTAATGATTTGATATACCTATACGTTGTGAAGGGATTCCTACAGTCAAGTTAATTAACATATCCATGACCTCATATAGTTGCTCTTTTAAATCTTTTTTAATGAGTGAAGTATAGTCTAACTACATTCCTATTGACACAAGTTCTCTGTTTGAAATCTATAAAAGGTTGGCATTTTTTGGACAGTATTATGAATTTAGAATATGAAATTTCTATATGGATATAAATTTATACAATGGCTAATTGTGAACCAGCTTATTTCCCTGGCAGAAGAAATTGTCCTTAACTATCAATAGATTTTTTTAAGGGAGGTATATTTAGTCTAAATTCTGGGTGCCTGTGAAGTTATTAACAAAATAACTGTATGGAATTTAAGACAAATTAAATATAAAATAGAGTAATATTATTTGTTATTTTCCAGATGAACATTACTCGAAAACTTTGGAGTCGAACTTTCAACTGTTCGGTCCCTTGCAGTGACACAGTGCCTGTAATTGCTGTTTCTGTGTTCATTCTCTTTTTGCCTGTCGTCTTCTACCTTAGTAGCTTTCTTCACTCGGAACAAAAGAAACGCAAACTTATTCTACGTAAGTTTCTTTTTACAATTGTTCATTTATTTAGATGAAAACCTGTATTTTAGGAGCCGGCCCTGTGGCGTAGTGGTTAAGTGCACACGCTCCACTGCTGATGGCCCGGGTTCGGACCCTGGGCACGCACTGTTGCACCACTTGTCAGGCCATGCTGTGGCGGCATCCCATATAAAATAGAGGAAGATGAGCATGGATGTTAGCCCAGGGCCAGTCTTCCTCAGCAAAAAGAGGAGGATTAGCATAGATGTTAGCTCGGGGCTGATCTTCCTCACAAAAAAAAAAATAAAAATAAAAATAAAAAAATACAGATGCCTGGGTCCCATTGCAGACCTTCTAAATCATAACCTCTACTCTAGTTTTGAGACCCTCTGAAGTAGGGAGATTCCTGGTTATCCAATGTAAGATACTTTCACTATGGCGTGTTTTTCGTTTCTGGAACATGAAAAATATTCATGTTTAACTATAAGTACAAAACATATTACCAAGTCAAATAGCCATGATTTTCTTTATTAACCCTAATGACTCAGGCCACTTAGCTTCGTAATCAAAATGGATTGTACATATTTTATTAGCAGCTGTATATGTTTGTGTATATGTTTGTGCACATGTGTGTAATACACAACTCACTTTTCTTTGTAAGACATTTAAATGTAATTTTTTTTTTCACATTACAGAGTTATTTCACTAAATTTAGATTTGGATTTCTAACTTAGACTTTTAAATGTATAATTTTATTATTATACCTTATGGCACTTCCATTTTTTCGAGTAGAGTACTTTCACGTCTGTTACATATTTAAGGTTGTGATGTTCAAGATGATATAAATTATGTCTGTTTTATTTGGTACTGCTTCTAACAAAGTTATGTGCAGCTTCTAACAAAGTTATGTCTTTTGGGGTTGGTAGAAAAAAATAGACAGGTTTTAATTCTTAGAAGATTGAATCTATTCAGATTCAAACATAGAATTAGAAGAGGAATAATATAGTTTACATAAAAATAATGAATAATCATATTTAGAGAATTAAATGTGAGTTAAAATATAATACTTTTGATTTATCTAGCTAAACGTCTCAAGTCTAGTGCCAGCTTTGCACACGTGCAAGAAGATTCAAACTGAAACCTACAAAATGGAGAATTAGCATCATATCCCATGGATGAATGGTAGAAGACACAGCTTGGTCCAAAAGAAGATAAACTATGATTTGACAAGTCAAGTTCTTAAGAAATGCAAGGACTTCAGATTTATTTTTAAATAAGAGTTTTCAATTTTTCTTTCCTTTTCCACCCCCTTTTAAGGATTTGGGTATTTTTAATTTCCAGGCATTGCAATGTTGTCTATTTTAAAGTATATTTGTTAACAATAACAAAAGATGCAAGAACAATCTTTGTTTTGTTTTGTAGGCGTGTTATTACTGTTTGAGACTTCTGGTATCTCCTTGTTAACATGTTATCTCAAGTAGCAAAGTTTTTGAAAACTAACATTTAAAAATAATCAGTTATAGCAAAGACTTTGAAAAAGAAATATACTTGCCAAAAAGTAGCAGGTCCAAAGATTAAATTACTCGCCATTGCAGTATTATTGTTACATATATGTGTAATATGTCATATATTACAAATAATGTGTAATTCAATCTCTAGTTTCCTTAAAGTCATTTTTGAAACCACTAATTATAAACCTCCCTAACAATTTTTAAAAGCAGGAAGGCACATTACATTTATCTCTGTAAAAAGATTTATGGTAACTGGTTTCTTACTTGACTTTTATAAATAGTATTTTACACCTTATTTTTGCCTTTATTTAATAAGTAATTTGAAATCACTGGACTGCTTTGTTATATTCAGGGCGAGATGGATTCTTTTTATACCAGGGATTTGCATTGTGAATTACATTAAGTTATTTGGCAATTTATAATTTATTACTACTTTAAATCAAATGTAGCATTATCACACTGTATTTAAATTGTGATTTTTTAATAGAGAGTTTCTCTTGGGATATATGGAGATTTTTGGAGGGGAGAGAAAGGAAGAGTAAAAACTTAAGTTTCAGAAAATAGTCAGGGACCTGAAAGGATGCTCATTATAAGACTGTTGAATAGTTCATATTGAGGGCAAGAGTCGGAATGAGAGTCTGATACAAAAAGCAGTTAGGTTAAGATGATGCTTATTTTTTTCTAAATTATTTAAATTGGATAAAGCGATATGATTGAGATGAAGTCACATATTTCACTCTCAGAAAACAAATTCTGTTTTGTAACATTTGTATCAGTCTTTAAAAAAAAGCTTTGTTTCAGAATTGTTCATAATTTTTTCCCTCAGGTTCTTAGTGTTAGGTGTTTCATTTGTTAATTCTTTCTTTGCTTTCTTGGTGGATATAGACTTTGTTTTACATGTTAAGAACATGAAGGCTGCTCTATATAGAAACGAGTGTTTGGTTAAATGGTACAAGAATTTGAATCCCTTTATATACTGTAAAATGCTCTATAGAGAGACAAGAAAGTGTTTTTATTATTTTTTTAATGTTTACCACATTTGCAGGGTGAAAGAGAAGGCTCATCTTTGAATATGTACCATATCTAAAAGCTGTGACAGTTTTTCTAGTCGTCTGTGATCCGCTTAAAATGTGGGTTTGTTCTGCTGTCCCTCTTCACACTGCTGATGCTAATAGCACTCTCTGATTTGAAGCATATAGTTGAGGGCCACTGAAAGCAATCTTTCATTAATGCAGCTAAAACCAGTTTACATGCGCACAGTTACAAAATGGAATATTCGATTCTGTAAGTAGTGACTCCTTGAGCACCTTTCATTATTATGTATTTCTAAAAACCGTTGCCTTTTGGATATGGTTGCTAATAAGCACTTTAAAAAAGAAAAGGCAGCCTTTACTGTTTTTCTGGTTGAGTTGTTGCTCTTTAGAAGTAGCATCAGCAATAGATTTCAAAAGTAAGTATTAAGCACTACACTAAAGTGTGTAAATATTTCATTTTTTAGTCATATTGAAAAATTCTTTGTGTAGTTCTGAATTCTGAAACACACAGCATTTATGTGTGCACAAGAACATCTTTAGTTTTTTTGACACTGAAATAAAGGAAGTAGCTTAAGAAAATTGCAGTGCTGTATTTGATTTTTAAGCACATTTTAAAACTTCAGATGTAATTGAATATCATATTTCGGTTTTTCAGGTATTGAGTTTAAATGCCTACTTTAAAAGTACCATCTCTCTTATAATTTTGCTGCAAATAAAAATGTACTTTTGGATTATTTATTTATTTTTGTTGAATTTGAGAAGTAGAAATAGCATCAGCTATCTTCAAGTATAATTCTAAATCAGTGAATACACCAGAGTTTAGTTGGTAAATCTTACTTCTAATGGGACCGGTATTTTCTAAGGTTTCGTGGATGGGCTGCACTTTTTATGGCAGTGTACTTCGTAAAAAGTGAAATATTTTCCCAGAGCAACATTGTAGTTGGGGTTGCATTCCTGACCAAAGACTTGACATCACTTAAATAATAGAAATCACCAGCAATGAATTGTGAAAGCAAAAATATACTATTAACCTAGTAACAATTTAAAATGGAAAAAATGATGTTCCAAGTACATATATTTTCTGAGCTAGAAGAAACCTTAGAGATCACCTGGTCATAGAATCCTAGAGCTGGATGGATCCCTAAAGACCACTTAATCCAACCTTCTATCCGCTGCTTGGATTCCCTCTAAAAAGTATATCACTTATTTCCTATCTTCTTAACAAAGGAAGCAGAACACTGTAGAGCTCCTTATTTATGACTGAGCCATTGTTTGATAGTCAACTCTAAAATTGAGATTTGAGATGTCTAATCAAATGTTTTTCTACTGCTCTACTCTGCTTATTCTGTAAAAATTCCATAAAATGATCATATTGATTATACAAAGGGCTTTGGCCTATGCTGAATTATACATGTAACACATAGAAGTTACAACTCTACCAAGTTTGCTTGTTCTAAACTATTACATTGGGTATAATAAATATTAGTCATACATGTAACACATTTAATGACCAGTAATTTTCTTTGTGTCCTTGGAACTAAGGAGAGTTTTTAAAAGACAATATGACTGATTCATGCTTCTTGAAGTATGAAGATTTTCAATAATGATTTTTTAAATCTGTCTTTCCTGTGATAAACAGAGGTTTTTTTTTTTTTTTTTTTACATCTATCCCAGTGCCCAAATGCAATCAAAATATTTCAAACCTTTTAAAGGAATGATAGTCCCATTTTAGCTAGATATTGTAGTAATTCCTCCATTGCCTTACTTAAATATCAGAATTGTATCCAAAAGATTTGCCCAATAGTATTAGAAGTGAAAAGCAATTCAACAATTTTAATTTCTGGAATAATTGTAGACAACTAGAGTGGAGATAGGTAGGATTGAAAATTATTAGCTGCTTATCCTGTTTTGACCTCTGAACCAGAAGAGCAATCAGAAGTTAGGAGGAGGTTTCTGGTCACCTTGTATTGTGTATCGTTAGAGGATAGGGCAGAACAGAAAGCCTTGCAGTCAACCCTGTTTCCAGAGGGGGCCAGTTATTTCTTCCCTTTTCTCTCTCTCCTATTAGTACCTCATTTGCTACATTCATTTGTAGTGCTATTGCCAGTAATGTAATAGGAGCTAAGACAGAAAGGCCTTGGCTTTTTAAAATCCTCTATATCTCCACTAAATAAGGCACGGCATTTTTGTGTACAATCCAGGGACTCTTACCAGTCAAAATTCAGTATTCCCCCCAACAGTCATACACATGTGCTCTCTCTCATTACTTTTCTCCTATGGGCTTGGAGAATTAATAACTGGTGTCAGCAAACAGCTAGCATAAGGATATAAAGAGGATGGGTGAGCAAGTAGAATCTCCAGATTGAATCTCCTCTCCCCTCACTCACACTTCCACCCTGTGATTCCTGAGTGTTTATATAGGAGGGACCTAGGGATGGCAGTCCATATGGAAAAGAGGAGTTGGGGTCACTTGTCTTGAAGCTGTATGTGCATGGCAAATTCACTGTGTATTATTAGATTGTATATTTACTGGAGTAGGTTTTTTGGAAAGTGATGGTTATTATGAAAGGGCTAAAGCTCTGCTTGACATTACACTGCTTGGCACACTTTGCTCATCATCCACCCAGGACTTACTTCTTGCTCCAAGCCACCCTCTCAGATAGGAGCAACATGAACCGGCTGTTGAGCTGCTTCAGCTCCTCTTCCCAGGTGTATGTCTTCTGCATCTGGAGCTTCTTTGTTCAATTTTTTCTTCTTGTCTCCTAATATCACGATATATGGAGTCATAGGAACTGTCCCACATAGTCTGGCTATTGTTGCTGAATCTGCACCACTCATTCTATGTCCTTGAAACACCAAGGATAGGTGCTTGGGTGGGCACTCACCCCACCATGCTGAAAGTGATTTAGAGAATGCAGTCTCTGACCTGGTCAGGCTCCGGAAAACCCTTTTTGGGGTTGGGGTCCTTGCTTATTGTTGGTCTAATTTGAAGAGGCTATCCACATCACTTCTGGCTCTCATGCATCTAAGCTCCTTGCATCTAACCCCTATCATTTACTCTTGTTCCCATAGTGCCACCATTTTCTTCTTAGCCCTGACTAGCTTCACCAACATCAAAAATTCAAGTAACCTGATGAGATTGTGGTCTCAGTTTTCCAGTACTTTAAAGAAATCACTCCATTGCTTTCTGGCTTGCAAAGTTTCTGATGAGAGGTCTGCTATAATTCTTATATTTGTTATTCTATATGTAATGTTTTTGTCTTCTGGCTGCCTTCAAGGTTTCCTCTTAATTTTTGATTTTCAGCAATTTTACTATGATGTGTCTAGGTGTGTTTTTCTTTGTATTTATTCTGCTTCGGATTCTCTGAGCCTCTTGGATCTTTTTGTTGTCTTTAATTTTGGAAAATTCTCAGCCATTATACCATCAAATATTCTTCTGCCCTGTTCTCTCTCTTCTCCTTCTGGGACTCAGATTTATATTAGACCATTTGATACTGTCCCATAGCTCTATTGGATGCACCCTTCTGTTTTATTCACTCTCTTTTTCTCTTTGTGTTTCAGTTTGGATCATTTCTGTTGACCTACTTCAGGTTCATTAATTCTTTTTTGTTCTGTGTCCAGTCTGCTGATGCACCTGTCGAGTGATTCTTCATCTCTTGATACTGTATTTTTAGTTCCAGCATTTCCATTAACTCTTTTTTATAGTTTCCATCTCTCTGCTGAAATTCCCCGTCTATTTTTGCGTGTTGTTTACCCATTCCACTAGATCCTTTAGCATTTTAATCACAGTTATTTTAAAGTTCCTGTTGGATAGTATCAATATTTGGGCCATCTCTGGATCTAGTTCTGTTGACTACTTTCTCTCTTAACAATGGGTTGTTGTTATTTTTTTCTTACTTTTTAAATGTGTCTTATGATTTTTGATTGAATCCCAGACATTGTATGTAAAAGAACAGTAGAAACTCAGGTAAATGGTATTTATACTTGCAAATGGGCAAACGTCTCCGAGTATCGGGCCGTTAGTGTGGGGGGCCTGAGTAACTCCCATTAGTAGTTGGTCTGAGTTTGAGTTTTATTGTTGATATCATTACCTTCAGTATTCTACAGATTTCACATTCCTCCAGGGTGGACTGCTGCTACCTTGTGCTTAGCGTGTGGCCTGGCATGCCAGAGAATTTTTCTCAGTGTTCCTGCTTCACCCTCAGCTTTCAGCAGACTGTGTGGCTATACTACAAGTGTATAAGTGTCAAGATCTCTCTCTGTGGTCCTGCCCCTCCCTCAGCTGTAGAGATCTGTTGTTTGTTTTATACAAAGCTTGTGATTGGGGCGGGAAGCATTTCTCCCCCTGTAGCCTCAGCCTCATGCAGGCCCTGGGCTCTTGAGCTTTAGGAGTGGGTCTCCCTCCCCCCATGGCAGTCAGACTCTGCCTTGTAATGGGGAGACTCTTAGATGAGAGTGAGTTTCCTTTCTCTCTCTCACTGGCGGCAGATGTCTCCTTTGTGTCCGTGTAGGATCCTGGTCACAAATGGGTTTCTTGTCTCCCACCAGCATCTGATGGCTTTTGCTTCAAGTCCCCCTATCACCACAGCCAAGCTTTTCCTGGGACCAGGGGACAGGAAGGTTTTGTACCACTCCTTTAGTGGCATATGGCTTTTTATTTGTATGAAAGAAGGACATGGACTTCCTGCCTCTCCCCAAGTGGTAGCTGGTTGTCATCTGCATGCCTGTGTCACCAAAGGGAGGCTCTTTCAATTCTGATCTGCCCTCAGTCTTTCTTATGAACTTAGAGGAGGCAGACTCTCCTTGTATCCTGGCTCCCAAGGATTCTAAGCTGTCACACTAGCCCACACTTGGTCTTTAAGTGTTAAAATGTCAGGTTTTTTCCTGTTACTTTTTTTGGCTGCTACTCTTCCTCCTGTACTCTGCCCAAAGCAAAACGGTTTGTAGGGGCAGTGCTTCTGGGCTCTCTACATCCTAAGTGGGACTGGAACTCATTGATTGTTTCTTCGTTGTCAACTCTTTACTTGACAGCAAATTGCTCTACAATGTGTTTAATAGGTTCAAAGAGATAAAACACAAGATTGATAATTATGGAAACCATAAAAAGGAACCAAATCCCAAACCAAAAACTAGGGCAGCTGAAATTAACTCAGTGGAAGGGTTTTATAGCAAATAAGACACAGTTGAAGAGATATTTAAGAATATATGGAAGAATATCTCCAGAAGGAAACATGGAGGGAAAAAGTTTGGAAATACAGATGAGGAGTAAGAGATATAGGGGATGCAGTAAGAAGATTTAATATAAATGTATTCAGAGTCCCTGAAGCAAAGGAGAGAGAAAATGAGACAGAAGCAATTTTTGAAAAGATAACAGCTGAGAATTTTCCACAACTGGTGAAAAACATTACGTCACAGATTAAGAAGCCAAAGCAGAATTTAAAACAAACCTGGAAATCTAGGCACGTTCATAATAAATGAAAACCAAAGAGAAAATCTTACAAAATAGCTGGAGAAAAAAGACATTACCTTCAAAAGAGCAATTGATTAAACTTATTGCTGGTTTCTCAAGAGAAATAATG